CAACAAGGTGTTTTCAATATAGATATGTCCAAAAAACACAGACTAACAAATAACGCAGTTCTTAAAGATGACGGCGAGTCCACCACCAACAAAGGAGCACTATTTTGGACAGAGCTCAGTCAGATGATTAAATTCCAAATCGTGCTGCCAAGTCTTCGTTATGAAGTCCAAATTCTCTTGACTGAAGAGATCACTGAGAAGAATGAAAGTAATAGAGCGAGCACTGGGGAGGGCCATCCTGATGGCAAACGTGTGTCAGCAATCTCACAAGCCAAATCGACAGGTGCCCGTGCAGATGTCATACCATCATAATCCACAGGTCACACAGGTAAAGGCTTGATGACCTGACAGAAACTCCCACAGACCACCAGGACACAGAAACGCCACACAGATTTCTGAGTCTGACTACACCTTGCCTCCAAAGCTGTCTCAACTATGTTTCTTTGGGCTGGGATTATCCCAGCCCCCAACCAGCAACAGATACAGGGGTTCAGCTTGGGGCATTCACCATGCACGTAGATCAGGTCAGTGGGCTGCAACACTCCACAAAAACTGTTGAAGAATGGCTTGATGTGCAAAGACTTCTAGGCGAGATTCCAAGCTGCCTGATTTTAGTGCCACAGACTTTTTAGAAACCAATGAGAGACACTCTTCTTCTTCTTCTCCTTCTTCTTCTGGTTGCTCCCTTTAGGGATCACCATGGCGGATCTGCCTACCTGACTAACAGCCTTCCTTTACTACATCCATAAACCTCCTCTGAGGTCTTCCTCTTTTCCTTCTGCCGCCTTTGTCTTGTTTCTAATGACTTTTATTTCTCTCATCTCCAGGGCATACCTCCACCTACTACCTACCACTCCTGACTTCCTCATCTGTAGTGCTCCTTCTCAGCATGAAGCTATACTGCTGCTCACCAATAGTCACCTCTCTTCTTAAAATAACGGCTCTTTCCTACACTGCATGCTCCTATCTGTGCTCTAAATCCTTCCCTACTCAATCCTCCAATGGGTCCATAAGTTACAAACTGAACACCATGTTGTATTTGATAAGACCTGGAAGTGGAGACTGAGACCATAAACTCATTAGGAAAGTATTTACTGAGGTGAGAGATAAGTTGCGTAATAGGCTCATTTTCTCATGGACTTCCATACAATCGGACCCCAGATATCGCCCCCTATAGGACATTAAGAAGATTGCAGGTTGAATGCACTTCAACAGTGGCTACATCAAAGACCTGCAGTTGGAGAATGTCGTTTTTAATTGATTACCTGAACCTATGTCTGCTGTGCAGTTAATTGTACTAACAGACCATTCAAGAAGTCTGTGAATGAAATTCTTGGATTCTACTTGGATTCAGAACTAATGACCAGGTGTCTGTCTGTGTCCGTGTGATGCTCCTCAGTCTATGGATGCAGTCCAGAAATCAGTCTTCTATATACAATCAATTATTTTCGTTCTAAAACAAAGTAAATTAAATACTTTAAAATACTGCAGTGGGAAATGTAAGATCAAACGAGCGGCTCTGGATACTTCCTGGAGCGACTGCCATTAAGTCATCAGGTGAACTCAGGTTCACACAGCTGAGTAAGTAGTAGTAGCTAGAAGCGATCACACTGACCATGAAAACTTTCCCCCCAACTTTCCCCCATAATATTCTCATACAGAAGTGTGTTAGTGTTTTCACCTCATATATAAACACTGGCCCTGCTATGATGTCACAGGTGAGGCCTTCAGTCACATGACTGACCTCTGAGCTGGACCTGCAAGCTCAGATTGAACGTCAGTGACACAGGCATTAAATGTGGTCCCCCCTCGCCCCCAGCTGTGAATCTTTTCTTCCAGTTCTCCCAGTTTGTACTCACTGGCTGGTGTGAAGTTCCTC